TCTCTTACGATGCAATCCTTTCACATAAATCTAATGATTAAAATACCGCACATTTGAGAGTCTTATTGATCGGTTAATAATATGCAGATTTACTCACAAAATCTCTGTATTTTATTGAAATAGTTTATTTTATTGATTTAAACGTTTTTATTTTTCAATATTATTATTACTTTCATGAGTGTAATTTAAATCGAGTGAAAAAACAACGTTTAATTTTGTTGCAAGTTTCCCATAAAGTTTACACAACAATAATAGATTTGTAGAGGAATTGCAAAGTTTCTCAAAATAAATAAAAACTTTATTTATTATTACATTAAAACCTGGAATTCAAATCATGCGTTGAAATTCTTATGCATTATTTAATTCAGACTTATTTATAATGAATTATAGAAACTCTTACTCTCACGTATTTAATGTGTTTTTGAAATAAAACAATAAATCATAAAACTATATATAAATACAACGACAATAGAATTGCATTGAAATCTCAGTGGAAATATGTTTGGCTTTTGTCAGAAAAAAATCACATTTTTTAAGATAAAATCTCGAAATATAACAAATTAAACAACTTTTACCTGAAACTCAGTCTTCATAGTAATAGATTACTTTTTGTATGAAATTGTTTTTAAATACAATTCTTAAATGGATTAGTCTTTTATTTAAAATATTTTATGCAAAGAATCCATAAATAATAAGTATATTTGAGATTAATATCATATGAAGAGTAAAGTCATTAGAAAATGCATTATATTATAGAGAAAAAGAGTTTCTATAATTCATTATAAATAAGTCTGAATTAAATAATGCATAAGAATTTCAACGCATGATTTGAATTCCAGGTTTTAATGTAATAATAAATAAAGTTTTTATTTATTTTGAGAAACTTTGCAATTCCTCTACAAATCTATTATTGTTGTGTAAACTTTATGGGAAACTTGCAACAAAATTAAACGTTGTTTTTTCACTCGATTTAAATTACACTCATGAAAGTAATAATAATATTGAAAAATAAAAACGTTTAAATCAATAAAATAAACTATTTCAATAAAATACAGAGATTTTGTGAGTAAATCTGCATATTATTAACCGATCAATAAGACTCTCAAATGTGCGGTATTTTAATCATTAGATTTATGTGAAAGGATTGCATCGTAAGAGAGTTGGAGGAAAACGAGTAAAAACAAAAAATATTTTTCATTTCAAACATAAATTTGATTAAAACAAACAAAAAGAAGACAAAACACTGCATCCGATGTAATTTAAAATTAAAATTGTCTTCAAATAGTTGCACA